ATTATTGTTAAGTTTTGGGTAACTTCAACTTTTTTTAACCTCTAACAGTTCACCACTTACCTTTATACCATTTCAAGCTATCCATTGACTTGAATGACTTGAATTGCAATAAATAGCTGGAAAAATTGTGGTGTTCTAAAATGTTTGACCGGTAGCAGCAGTAAGTTAATAATAATAATAATAATGGATACTTTATTGATCCCCATGGGGAAATTACTTGTTTTTCTCTGCATTTGACCCATTCACTCAGTGAAGCAGTGGGCAGCCCACTAAGCAGGCGCCCGGGGAGCAGTGTGTAGGGACGGTACCTTGCTCAGGGGTACCTCAGGGTAGCCGTTAAGTGGATTCGAACCGCCGACCTTCCGATCATGGGGCGACCACTTTACCTACTGAGCTATCCCTGCCCCAAGTTGGCCTGGATATTGCAATTACTAAATTTATATTTTTAATACAATAGTGTCTTTTTATTGTAAGCAAGCACATAAAAGAAGTATAAAAATAAAAAAACTAAATACCTAATGCCTCACTATTATTTTTACTGTGGATTATGAAAACCATTATAGGCTATGTTTTCACTTAAACATTGAGATCTAAAGTGCAGTTGAATAAATATAGTCTCATGATGATTCTACCAAAAGGAGTGAGTGAAACAAAGAGATGGCTGAGTGAGCTACACTGACTATTATCAGTAGAGAGAAAGCATCACTTTACTGTGAAGTTGTTAATTATTTCAATAGAAACCACCTCTGCTTTCAGTCTGTTGACTCTAGAAGGTCAAACACTTGGTTGGTGGATGAGCTTTTTCATGAATTTCTCAAGGATCTGGATGTTGTGAGGCTTTCTAGTTTGACACACCTCTTTAATATTGCATTGAAGTAAGTCCTCTGGATTGGCAGACTGGGGTGAAGTTTCCCCTCTTCAAGAAAGGGAACTTTAGGGTGTGCTTCAAGGGAAGGATCACACTCCTCAGTCTCCCAAAGAAGGTCTATGGCAGTTTATTGGAGGAGAAAGTCCATCCTTTAGTTATGTGACACACAGCATATTGGTAATATTTTCTTCCATCAGAAACATTTAAAAAACAAGAAGATCAACTTACTATTTGCAGTGTTCGTAACAAGTAGGTCTTTGAAATGAAAACCACTTTATTTGAAAAGATAACTAAATCTAAGTCTTTCAGCATTATAAATGGTATGTGGCTAAATGGCCTGACTAATGCTTTTTGCAAGAAGAAAAAATATAGAAAGAAAAAAAGAAAACATATAGCAGGAGGATAGTGCTAGCACCTTGTTTTGTTTTGGAGTAATGACAGTTTATTGTAACACATGAAGCAACACATCCTAAGTGATCTTTCAAGTTAGTTTTCCAACTCCAGGAAACACTCATATATTTTAACATCACTGTCAAAAATAAAGTCTCTCACAGACATTTGCAAGGTTTAAAATTTAATTGTTAGGTCTAATGTCAGACCTTGCTGCTGAAGAGGTTCGTCACTGTAAACAAAAGCAAGACACTCTGTACGGTTCTCACTTGCTAGCAAGGGAAGTCCGGCAAGATGTTCAGCCGACTTCAAACTGACTCCCTTTGCAGGCTCTTTTATTGACTACCGTGGGTTACACAAACACGGTCAAACTGGTTTAAACTGGTTACACAATGTAAAACCCATGTAGTGTGCCATAAAAGCTAAGGCACTGTGTGTGTGTGCATGCATGTGCGAGCAAGTGTGTGTGTCTGTGTCTCTGTATATGTGACTTCCTGCCACACAATATATGCTTACAACCGTTTAACCACATTTCCTAGTTATCCACAGGTCATCTCCCCACACCCGTATATGGGTTAACTTTAATGGTTCACCATATACAAGCATAGGCGAACCCCTAAATGGAGCGGAGGGAACATCCTTTACCAGATAAGGAAACCAGAACCTTTAGATGGAATGTGCCTGCAATTAAACATTATAGCATCCAACACTATTATCAAAATCAACCTAACATTAATGACAGTACAGGAAATAAAACGAGGTTCACCACATGTCAACAAGATGATTATAGTATTTGGAAAAGATTGAGCAAGTATTGTTTTGCAGGTGGAAATACAGCTCTAGGCAACAGTTTTGCAAGTATATAATGCCTAACCACTTATCAGTCATCCCTGCATTCAGCAACTGCTTATTTGTGTTATATACACATTTGCTTCCATATGTATCCATATAACTAGAACATGTTTTAACATGGTGATGCTCTGAATTTTACTTAGATTGGAAATATGAATATAAATTTTAATCTTACAGTATGTGTGTGTCTGTATGTGTATGGGATTAAAAACTCAAAGCTTCTCAGCATGATAAACAGGATGCGGGCCTTTAATGTTGCGAAAACACAATCTAGTCTGCTAATGAAATTGTGTTCACACCTAGTTTGGTTTTGCCTCAGGAGGCGGCCATGAGAACTGACCACATCTGAGGTGAAGTAACATTTAGCGTGGGAGATCAGTGTGGGCACAGAGTCTATTTAAAAGCCAAGGACTGTCTTGGAGATAGACTGCAGGAGCTTGATTTTATTCATTATTGTGCTGTTTACTGTCATACTCTAGTGTGGGAGCTCTAACTATCAAGGGAACTGAATTACACTCTGAACTGCAAGATGAAAGTCTTTCTTCTCATGATTTTATACTTGGTCAATTGCTCTGTTGCTGTAAGTACAAAAATGTCTAAACAGTTTTATTTGATATTTATTGTCAATTTTTATCCCTTATCAAAACCCTTTCTGTTAATATTTAAAACAAATACATTATTTATGTTTTTGTAGAGGCGCCATCATTCATGCAGCAGTGGGTCTGACAGTAGTGAGGTAAGACATAAATAATGCCATAATTGTTTGTAAAGAACACAGTAATATACATTTTTTTCAATGCTTTTGCAGAGTGGCCAACACCGCTGGATTAGACCTTCATTCAATATCTGTACTCTGTTTCCGATTCTATGTGTGCAACCACCTATTCAGCCATCAACATCAACCACAACACAGACTTCCAGGACCACAATCATGTCTACCACTACAGCCCCGAGGGGAGACAGTAGTTGAATAGCATGGATCTGGAAAAAAAAAAGTAGCTTATACTACTTTGGTTTGAACTTTCCAGCATAAGCAGCACAAAGCTGCATAATAATAGGGAAATTGATGCTGTGAGAATGATGTCTGTTTTTTACATTTTGTTACCTTGAAGCCAGAAATGAACCAAATTTTATTGGCATTCAAAAATATTGCATACTGTTTGCATATTTTCACATTTCAGTATTGCAGCATCCTTCAACCTCCCTTTACAATGTTATATATGTTTTGTTGATCCTACTTATTTGAATGTTTTGTTTAATTTAAAAAAAACAAAACTTATATAACCAGTGAGGTTGTATGTTGCACTGTGATTTGAAACATTTAAAATTTAGAGAGGCATTCAGTCAGCAAGGTAATGATGAGTTTTGTTAGAGACTAGGCTTCCAGACATTAGTGGGAGGGATGCTGACGACATGCATGCGTAATATCCAGTCAGCGGGTACACACAACACCAACCCTAGATCAACACAGCTTAAGTGAGGGATGACTGCTGAGCTGTTAATGCATGGCTCTGTGCTTCATGAGTTAAACACATAGTACTGCTTTATTTCTTCTTCACACACCCTCTTCAGCAATATTTTCACTGATTGCACAGCACTGCTTGCTCCGCTGATTTGACAAAAAAAAGTAATTAAGATTGTCATTAGCATACACCCTTTTAACAAAGCTAGTATGGTCTCTTACTTTCTCTTTGATGTGATGTGTGCATGAATGTGCATTATAAATGTAATCTCCTGTTTTGTGGATGTTTGCCTAATTTGCAAACTTGGTTAATTTTGTAAACCAGCTGGCAACCAACTTTTAAAGTATGCACTGAATTATATGTATTTTTCATAATTGTTGTATTTGATGCTTTGATGATTTTTTTTTTCAGAATAAATTATAATTTGAAAAGAGAACCTTGTTGTGGGATACTGCACTTTTTAATCTATCTATCTATTGATCTATCTATCGATCTATCTACATAGTTAGACAGATACTGCTATTACTAATAACAATTTATTATTATTATTTGGATCCTGTACCCAAATTGCCACTTGTCAGTAATTTTTATGTATGCCGTTTTAGCGTATGATGTTGCAAACAAAATGTTGTGTCAGTTTAAAATGATGGAAAGATATTACTTTATCAAATGTGAAAAAAATGTGTGGTCATAAGTATTATCTGTGTTTCCTTTATTTTGTTATTTGTTATTGAGTGTTTGATTAAAGAAGGTTGATTCAAGGTGATCTACAAAGGAAATTTCTTTTAAACAGAACAACTAAAAGTCAAGCTGGATAGAATTTATACATATTATAATTACTTGCTCTTCAATTTTCTCTCACATTTCAAATACATTTAGTGCTAAGTTAAGCATTTGAGCTCATCTGCAAATTAATTTTAATATTTGAATCAACATATATGTCATTAATGTGTAGTTTGTCATTTTTTTATGTCTTACATTAACTTATCAAGTGTTCATTTTTATGTCTGTTGCAGCTTCAGTTATTTTTCATGTCTGCTTTTTAAGATTCTTTTTTTGCACATCACACATTCTTGGTTTGACCATACTGCAATTACAACAGCGAGACACTGACACATCAGCCACATCAGCCACACCCGTAGGTGCCCGTAGTAGCAGGAAAACCACAAGGCCTCAACTCTCATGCATTTGTTTAATTATTTCAAGAGACATTACACCATCATAATTGAAGAAAAACATGCCGTTTAGGACACTTATTAGATTTTCTTTGGTTTCCACCTCCCTGCTTCATTCAGCAGACGATTAGGTTGAATTTATCTTTCTTCAGTCTGCCATGTGATTGGTTGATCCAGTTTGTGAGCAGTGCATAAGTTGAAGGACCCCTCCATACAGTTTCAATGAATTTACTCCTGAGTGCTCCACGGAGATAGTCCTTAAAGCACCCACTGATCCAGTGGAACTGATTAAAAACCATATCGATTTTGTTCTCTTTTTGGAAATGATTATCATAACGCTGCTGTTATGCTTTACCATAGAAGTCTCTGCAGTACCAGTAAGTAGACTAATAGAATATGGTTTAAAATACAATACTTGATATAATTATATAATTTTATGTTTATTCATTTAATACTGGTTGTCATTTAATTAACATTTGACATTCTATGAACTCTGTGACTCAGTGATAATTTTACCATCTTCTTTCTTTCTTTCTTTCTTTCTTTCTTTCTTTCTTTCTTTCTTTCTTTCTTTCTTTCTTTTTCAGGTCAATTCAAATGTCCGTCGTCCCCTGCTGTTACAAGGAAGGGAAACAGCAACTCAAGGTGCTCAGCACGTTGTAGCCGCAAACCAGAAACCCGAATCTCCTATGCCAGCCTCTATTTCTCCCAGTGTTCAGCCACAGGCAGGAGGTCTACAGCAGCCTGATCCACAGCCCATTCCTTCACTGCAACAGTACCCCTGGTATCCACAAGGGGGCATGCCCATGCAGCCACTCTTCTATGGACCCCACCAGCTGACACTGCCACAGCAGCCTCTAGTAGGAGGAGGCGGGGGAGCTAAGAAAACAGAATATTAACTCTTATTTTAAATTATTTTCTCCCTTTAAAAATGTGTATTGCTGCTTTTTTCAGATTTTCCCACCTTATGGATACTTACCGCTGTTCTCCTCACACTATGGGAATCAGCTGGTAAGCTAAGAGACACGCTTGCTGGAGACAGGAAACCCTTTCATAAGACACAGTATTATGAAAATAAAGACATTGGTATTTTGGCTTTTGGAGTAAGGAGTTAATATTGGAGTTGTAACTTGTGGTGTCGGTGCAGAAATTGTTGATATGTGTTGTTTTGTTTTATTTTATTTTCTCTCCATCAGTTCAGCCCATATGGTTACCCAATGATTCTGGAATCGGCTCTCCCACAAACTCCAGCAAATCAGCTTCCCAACAGTCCAGTGTTACCTGCAGAAAATGCTGCAGGAGTTGCAGTTGCTCCTTCAATAGATGCAACTCAGGGAATACAGCAGCCACAGCAGCAGCTGCAACAACAGGTGTCTCTGCATATACATAATGCAGAATAAGTCAAAAAAAAGAAAAAAGAGTTACAATTATCTAACCGAATTCTCATCCACAGATTCCCCAGATTGTATACATGCTACAGCAACCAATGGTAAATATATAACACCCTCTGCAGACTTAGATGATTAATGCTATTTGCAATTTCACAATTTTCTTTCTGAGAACATTTCACTTGACATATGTTGTAATTCCTTACCAGAGCTCACCTCTTGGCAGTCTTAGCTCTGAGGAACTTCAGGTAACACAGCCAAGATTTTTTTCTTCTTCCAGCTTGTTCAAACAGTCTGTTTAGTGAACTCAGTGATCCCACTAACACTGCCCCTCCCTTGCCTCTTTACAGTATCTTATCTCTGTTTACTGTTTCAGATGGCTGCTACAATGGGCCAATTGGGGGTGTACATGCCTAATGTGCTTACAAACCAGCCTGCGGGAGCTGTCCAGCCCGAGAGCCAGGCCGCAGGACTCACACACCCAGAACAACAAGGCGTTCAGCCAGCTGTGGGGACCTCAGCTGCTGGAGCTCAACCGATAAAGGCACTGCCGTGCTCTGGATCACATCCAAATGCTAGCGGGTTCTCTGCAGGTTTAGCTGGGTCGGATGCTGCCACTGCCCAAAGAACTGCTGAACCCCAGCTTCAGCCCATGCGGGAAACCCTTGTCTGAGACTGTTGTCACCAGTGGAGATAACCCACAACATACAGAGAAAACAAAATGCATTACTGATGGGTACTAACAACTATTCAGTGGAGCTTCTCAAGGATATTACTAACCGTTGCTATTTAATTTCATTTATTATTATTTTACTTAAAAAAATAAATAAATAAAAATAAATGTCAAATAAAAAAGGAAAACAAATAAGGCTGGGCCTGAACTGTTTTGTCTTTCCATGTTACTGTCTTTCATAACCTTCAATTAAATACATTTTAAAACCATAATGTAAGAGAGTGTGCACAGTATTTATCTAATCATCATCCTGAAGCATATTTATCCCAGATTATAGATTGTCATCACACCTCTGACGTATCCACGCAGGCTCAGATACAATGTGCAGTGAATGTCCCTAAAACTGTTGTAAATTTAAAGTTCTACCCAATTCATTGAAAAAGACATTCAGTTTTACAAGTATACATGATCATTTGTAGGTTTTAACAGGCCTCGAAATACTGCTGTTGGTAAAGCATTTATCCTCTAAACATCATCAGGTATAAAGCATCATATTTTCTATTAGGAAAAACACACAGGAGTAAGTAAGGAAGCACTCTTTTGAATTCCAACTCCTACTCCCGAATAACCCTGTTGCCCTTTTTGAGTTTGAGCTGTTGCAAGGAGGCACCTGATAAGACACATTGCAGAGGAATGTGAAATATGTGCTTTTCAAGCCAAAAAAATTATTAAGAGATTTCCCAGACATGCAGCTGCCAGGTTTGTGATCATACAAAGAAAAACGATTGGCTTACCATCAATACCTGTCAAAAGTTTGCTCGCCCTTTGTTTCTCTCAGCAAATAAATAGGCGATCTCACTCTCCTCTAATCACACCTCTCTTCAACAATCCTCCAGTGCTCACGTGCAGCCAGGAAAGAAAGGTAATGTAGATCCTGCTAATATCACATGAAACTGCAAAAGACGTTTTAAATTTGAATGCTTTTTTAAAAGACGTGCACTAAAAACTACCAAATGTAATAACTCAAAATTCTCTTTCTGTCACAGCAAGTTTCAAAATGAAATTTATCGTGCTTGCTGCCTGCATCCTTGGGATGGCCATCTCTGCTCCTGTAAGAAAAATACTTACATTTCTGCCAAAATATCTATTTTCCCTTTCTTTTTCTTTCACATGTAACAATTAACATACAACATTCATCTTCAGTATTTTAGAGAAATATCACCTACAGAGCTTTAATACTCACCTTTGTTTTTTTTAGCAGATGGAGTTTTTCGGTCATTGTTATCCGTTTATGGTGTCTGTTTTTGTCTTTAGCATTAATCAGTAAAACAACATTCAATAACTGTCTGAACATGTTACACTGACCTGCATTACACTGAATTTTATTCTCTTCTTTACAGCTGCAGATATTTGAGGAGTTTGACATCCATTACGCTCCACCTCAGGTACAATAAGAAGCAGCTTGGATCAGCTGGTGGATATCATGACACCCACACACATTAACCACAGTAAAAGCCAGATTTTCAAACTCTGCACGGTGGTCTGTTATGATTTGTTCACCACTGATGTCTTCATAGCTGAACTGCTTTTCTCCAACCCGGCTGACTTTTCTCATAAGATTGTGTCCCTGTTAAGTGTATATGATTAAAACTGTATTTCAGGCGGCCCAGGTTATCCCTGCTGGAGTCCCACTTGACAATCTGGAAGTTGTAAGAGTTCAATCATTGTTTTGCACCTTTTCAGAACTTTTCTGTGCATCTGGTGATTATTTCTTTACTATGTTGTTTTAATGCTTCCAGTTGCTCCCTGTTGATGCCCAAAGACACCCTCTTGGAGGACCTGTGAGTAGCACAGTTCATAAATATATATATATATAGATATTTACCTATTGAGAGTGTAGTTTGCAGACTTTGATCCAAAGAATGGAAATGGAATAGAAACCTAAATGCTATCTGATAAAAATAGTTAATTCTATAGACTTTGACGTTTTTAGAGCCTACATGTAATCAAAGAAGAGCCACAAATCAGAAGTATTACAGATTCCAGTGCAATTATGAGTTTCTAAGTCTGTTTTCATTGAAAGGTCCACGGCTTTATCAAGCACGAGATTCCAAATCCGAATGGCATAGGTACCAAGGAGGTGGTAGGTGTCTGCAGAACATATTTTCTCTGGCAAAGGTTTTTCAGATATTTTATTGAATTCACAATTTATTTTATTTTCTGTAGTTCTACCCCTTTGGCTTCAACCTGCCTAATCCAGCTGCAGCTGACCCAGCTGCTCCAGTTGCCCCAGCTGCTCCAGCTGCTCCAGCTGCCCCAGCTGCCCCTGTTGCTCTTGCTGATCCTGCCATTCCTGTGGAACCTCTGAATCCTGTCGTCGTTGCACCTCCCCCAGTAAGAAAGACTATCGCATTTAAATGTATTTAACAAACAATAAGCCTCTGTCATGATTTGATGCTGGCAATATGCAGTTTAGTGCAGTAATAGCTTCAATAGACTTTGACAGGCAATAAAGTGGAGTTGGATTGAACTGAAATTTGTTATGAGGGCAGCCGGTTCATTCCAATAAAAAGGATCACGTCAGACAAACCTCCCAACTATTTCTGCTGAGTTGTGGAAAAAACCGTGACTCATAAATGCACATGTAGGAGACTATCATCAGTCCTGATTCGCTCACCCAAGTCCTCTGTCATTTTAGCGTGGCAAAGATGATGAAGATGAAGATGACTAAAACTACTTAGTCAGCAGGAAAAAAACACTCTTGGCACACTCAGGTATCAATTCACATATTCATATATAAAGGTTTTAGCAGTAGTAGTTCATATAAATAAATATGCAAGGATCACATGTTATTTTTCTAGGGGATTGAGTCTCTCAAACTTTCATTTGCTTTTGTCCCCACTGTAGGTGACCAGAGGTGTAAGACTATCTGCTTACTGTGGTGAAAAATCGCCAGCCAGCAATGCTATTTTCTGTGGTGCTATGCATTTTTTGAAACGGTGCTTTGTTTGGAAAAAGAAGAATAAAGTCAAAAAGCATGACATGCCTCTTATGAAAAAAAAATTGATGGTTTGCAGTTAAATATGACCAAAAGAAAATATCAAAATAAATGTAGCAGTATATTGTTTCCTCTCTACATGCAACATGAAATGTTTCATTTCTGTGCTTCATAATAAATGAAACAGCTCATTCATCTATTGTTTCTGGTTCTTTGCTTAAGATATATTTCAAATAATAAATATCTGATACTCAGTCCATGAATTATATGCAGCATTTTGCAGATTATTACTGACTTGCTTTTTTGACTATCCACAAATAGCTACAGCAGGCAATTATATTTATTATAAATAATAAAGGCTGTTCTCTGATTTCACTACTATGTGCTGCTTCAGTACAAATTTATTTTTAGAGTAAAACAAGCAAACAAACAAACAAAAAAGGATATAGTATTATATTTATCTATGCTGTATTAACATAAATTTTTAGTTTCAGATATTTGTGCCACCTTATGCAATTGTAGTGAGACTAATGGCAGAATGAGGAGTAAGCAAAGTGAAGGTGTGCTCTGCTCTAGACGGTATAATCAAACAGACGACTCTGCTATTACACAGAAAGTGGATATGACCACTGGTCATTTAGTAAAGCTGAAGACTAGACACCTAAACTCTACCTAGTCATTGGGCAACACCACTCCTATCTCCTGTGACTGGCTCTTTGGTGAGAAAGCAGTGTATAAATATCCAAGTAACTCTGCAGAAGTCACAGTCCAACCTGCTGGCATCATCTCCAACATCAGCATTCATCATTTTCTCCTTTTCTGGTGATTTTTAAAATTTCAGACGGTGAGTTGAGCAAAATTTTAACATTAGCTCCTACATGCCTTTCCAGAAGGAAGCAACCATCCAGTGGGACTGTGGTGGAAGTTTCACAACTTGGAATGATTTATTTTATGTCTGTAGGATAAACATGAAGCTGGCTCTCTTGTGCCTCTGTTTGGCTAGCACAGCCTGTGCTGCACCAGTGAGTGTTAAGTAAAAGCCAATCATTTATTTCATGGAGCTGAAACCTGTCCAATACTTAAAGTTTAACTTCTGTTTATGCCTTTAGTTTCAGTACTTGCCTCATTACACTGGATCCAGGCAACAGATGCCAACTTTACAGGTAATTATGCATACTGCATACTGTTTATCTTCTCTATATCTTCTGTGTATATTCTATATACAGGTTCAAAATACTGCAAACACCTACACAAAATATTGCTGTATACTGAAGTCTTCACAATTTGCATGTATTCAGATGAACAATCCCTTTACGGCTGGTTTTCCACACACTGGACTACCTGGTGGTTACAGTGTGGAACTGGTATGTCAGACTCTTATTATTACTCAGGTTTATACACGTTTTCAGATCAGCACCATTATTTATTACATTTGGCTCTAACAGTGGCTATGAATCATGATTACAGTACAACATTTATGTTTTTTTTCTCCAAGATTTATCCCCACAGATTTCCAGGAGGTGCAGGTGTTTCAAACCCAGCACAGGTATGCATACATCAGTTTGAGAGAAGTTTTTCCACCTACAAAAAAATAAAATAAAATAGAAATCACCTAACTTCTTTTCGTTGATCCTGATTTTACTTTTGCCTTCTTTCTCTCTGCAGCCCTTTTCATCTTTTGGTCTCATCAAGTACTCCATTCCTCAGCTACCTGGCAGACAGAGTGTTGAAGTAGTAAGTCATTTCTCTTTCCTGTTGCAGATTATGGAAACTTTTGGCCCAGGAAACCTTTCTGCTCATAGAAGTGTTTTAACTGCTTTCTTGAACTTTTTTGTGTCTTGTGTTTTTACAATTCCAGTTCTATGCATATGACTTTGCTCAGCAAAGGGTAAGAATTTTGAACTCTTAGATATTAATTTAAAATTTGAAAATATGAATTTATGTTTGTATATTTCTATATATCATGGGACTAAATACAATATATAATTTTATTACAGATAATCCCAAACATCCCCCCAATGACAAAAGGCCCCATAGTGCCAGAAGTAAGATTTTAGTTATTCTATTTACCCCAACGTATTTTTGTTGTTTATGTTTAAAAACATGTTTGTTTATTTACCATTATATTTGTTTCCCCACAGGTTCTCCCATTTGACTATCCACCACAAAACATTCCCCAGCAAAATATGAACGTGAGAAAATACAGTAGCAAATAATATAATCTCGTTATGTTTTGAAGAAGCTAATTGTATTGAGTGTGTATCTCCATGTTTTGGTAAAGTAGGTGTTTTTTTTTTTCTTTTCTTTTTTTCCAGATTCCGCAATTTGACGCTAATGCTCTTCCATCCCAGGACCCCCCAAAATTGCACCTGCAGGATCAGCCCATACAGACAAGCCAGGTAACCAATCAACAGATTGGTCCTTATAAAGCATCTTTAAAAACAAGGGAACACTATTTGAAATGTGTATGATTTTAACAATGCTGATATGAAACTGCTCATTTGTCTTTACAGATGCCAGCAAAGGTGTAAACATGTGAACATTCAGAAATCAGCATTGGAAGAAATTGTCAGTGATGTTGTTTCCGAAAGTGCTAACATGAGTTAAAACCCCACCCACAAATGTTATAAATAACACTTCTTTATTAAGAAATCACAACATTATTAAACTAAAGAGTAATAGGATAATCTGCATAAAATAAGACATAGTCCTGAAGCACTCTTTTATTCCCCTTGTCATTTCCCCACATTAACAATAACCTGTTCTAGAACTGCAGATGCAATGTGATGCTGAATTTTCATCATACTTTAATTACTTCATTCTAACTTTTCCTTAAATGTCATTTTCTTTGAATAAATAAAGTCTACTTTTTGAAGCAAATTTTGATACTTTTACTCATTATTTAAACACTTGTAGATCTGCTTTGTTTTGTTTTTTATTCAAATATACATGTAGTAAAAATAATGTTATTTTTCCTTTAGGATTTAACTTGTGATTTAACATTACACTATTACAAAGCTAGGTGGATTATCAAGTATCAGTTTGACTTTAACTGTGGTGCCATTCAAAAGTACATTTCATACCTTGCTCTATAAAGACCTTGCCCTAGTTAGTGCCTCAGGTCTTCTGTCAGGTGAGAAAATAAATATCTCACTTGTCACATACAACAGCCTCCACACAGCAAAACTTGGTTCCTTTCCCAAAGACTTCTATAAACCTTGGAATTTTTTTTTTTTACTTACAGTCATATCTCTTCAGTACACTTAAATAAATACCAAAGGTTTGGGTATCAGCAGCAACTCTATTTCTATAACTGTGTTGCTAGAAACTTCTAACATACACAATAAACTTGAAATTGATTATTTGAACTGAACTCTTACATTGAAATTTGTGTTGAAAACTAATCTCAGAATGTATGAATAATGAAGAAAAATGCAACAAGTCATAAGAAAAGCATGATTATAAATGATTAAAGACATAAAAATATGTCTATTTTAGAGTTTAGATGTATTCCTGAATGGAATAAACCAAATTCATCTATAAATACTATTGCTTGATTTCAGTTTGCTGAGTTTGGTATGTTTGGTATGTTTAAGACTTAATATTACTTGGCATCACATGAGCTATTTTACCAGAAAATACTCTAGCATTATCAGCCTAAAAATAATATTTTCTAATGAATTAAGTTATGTTTATAAAAAAATATAAATATGCAATCTTATATATGTATAATTTATATAAAAATAAATAAAAAAAATTAAAATTTGTTCAAAATTAACCGACAAAAATGTAGAACCTTACCTGATTTCAGCATCGGTGGTATAATTTTTAGATCTTCAGTCACATTACATTTTCTTGTACTTGTGGACATAAGTGTAGGCAAAAATGTGTAGAACCGCATGAATGCTGAGAAAACAGCATGTGCCTCCCAGTCTTGCTTCTCACCTCTGGCAATGGCTTTGAGCTTGGAAACTGTGGTCACTTTGACTGAAAACTTGAATCTTCACACGGGTCCCTTTGAAACAGAAAATAATGTTTGCTCTTTGCTTACCTTTAAGTTCCATAATTAAACTGCAGAGCACGGCGTTCAAAGAGCAATTTAAGTATAACACCTACACCAGAGTAATTCTGCACATGCCTGTGAAGATTATCGAATAGGAGATCAGCCATGGTTAAAAGTCAGAATTTTGATCTTTTATAACACAATTTAGTATTTAGTATTTATTTATTTATTGTCATTGTCAAGAACAATGAAATTGCGTTTGGGGCTTCCATACAACCCAAAAAAAAGGAAGAAAATAATAAATACCCCTTAAAACCCAAGTGTACATATTTAACCCAGTGTGACTCCAATGCAATAAGACAATCCTTAGCAATAATGTTCGTAGAAATTCAGACAAAGACCTGAGAAACATGACAAAATACAACAATGCAACCCATTCAATATTATTGTACTGTGAGATATGATATCAGATATGATAGTTATCTATTTAAGAAAGGGGGGGGGGGGGGGGGGCAGGAGGGGGAAGAGAATAAAGATATGATGCACCAATGCAGACCAGTTCATTGCTATTAAGAAGTTGGATATGGTTATTGTCCGTGAGAGGGGGGCAGAGAGTTCAGGAGCCTCACAGCCTGTGGATACAGGCTGTTGGCCAGTCTGGATGTTCTGGCCTGTATAGACCTGTACCTTCTCCCTGAGGGCAGCAGATGGAAAAGGTGGCGCGCAGGGTGATGTTGGTCCCGCAGGATACTGTGCACCCTCCTCAGACAGCGAGTGGGGAAGATATTACTGATCTCTGGCAGACTTGTCTGATCTCTGGCAGACTTGGAATTCCCAGAGGTTTTGATCACAGCTTGTATAAAAATCCTTGTTTAGTTCTGCAACATAGCACATACATTATAAACACCATCTAAGTGATGTAAGACACTACTATAGTTTATCACACAGAAGACATGGATTTTCACTGTTGGTGGCAAAATCTCCCCACTGTGAAACGTAATTGTCATAAGAAAATAAAAAACATTACAGGAGAGAGAACGATCTCCCTGATCTTGGCTCACCTGGGGACAAAAGCTTGTCCCAACATGACTGAACACTTACCTCTTCAGAGGCACATCAGAAATGCAGACATTGGCCTCTCACGCTATTACCGTCTCTTCTTCAAAAGATTCTTTCCTGGAACTGTAATTCAAGCCAAAAAGTCCCCTTTTTAGTGTTTTACAGTTATATATGATGTGGATTCACATTACTGATAGTTTAATGTTCATGTTGGGTTTTACCACTGCAGATGTTTGAGGTTTAGCTCATTTTAAAATTCTTTATATACTGGTGCATAGTTTAATCTACAACAATACACCATATTCTATAGGATCATCGTGTTTGTTGTTGTTGTTGTCCTGCAACTGGACCTCTGAAAATACAGGGTTTTTTTTAATGCTGTTCTTTATGCTGGCTTTGCAATTAGAATCTGAATGCATGATGGTACCAAGCACATTTTGCTTTAACAAGAACAGCTACATAGAATCTCTAGTATTGTATTGCATTGTATGTATTGCCAGCTTTGGTACCTGTAATACACAAAAAACAAAACAAAACAAACATACAGCACCTGAAACACTCAAAAAATATACAGATACATGAATCACCAATCTTCCTATAGTGTGTGTGTGTGTGTGTGTGTATGTGTGTGCGCGCGTGTGTGTGTGTGTGTGTGTGTGTGTGAGAGAGAGAGAGAGAGAGAGAGAGAGAGAGAGAGAGTGTATGAGTGAGGGAATGTGAGAATGCCTGTGTCTTTGTTGTTTGATAATGAGACTGGGAAGCTGCAGTGATGCCCCCCCAGATGGCCCCCCAAGTACTGAAACTAAAGGCATAAACAGATGACCAACTAATTAGGGAATACACATTTTTCCCTGGACACTAGTAGTTGCCAGGGGGTCACCAACTGGTCTCTAGGCCAATGTGACCGGAATCTAATGGCCCCATTATGATCGCCATGTTTCTTGTGTCACAGGTGTTGCATACCCATTTTAACATCACAAAATGTATTGCACGACACAATCTTTGTGGCCGGACGTGCACTTTTGATTTTTGTAACCTGGCACATTGTGCTGGAGCTGCCACAGATAGGTTAAAAACTCAAGTGTACAATCGTGTACAGAAACTCAGAAGACACACAGATATACAGACGTAAATGTTGGAACACTTTGAAAACTTGTTTTGTCGATTTTGTGGAAAAAACTTTGCAACAGGCACAGTCTTGGCTTCCTTTTTAAGTTCTCCTCCTTTATCAGCACTTATGTTTAAGATATTGTCTGAGTGGTGACAACTATCGTTCAGGAGAATACTGCAGCAGCTTCAAGGGCTTAACTATAAATTCAAGTGACTGTGAGATGAGGTTGCAGTGGCAAAGCAAAGCAACCATTGCTGCTTGTATACCTTAAGACTTGAAACTAGGGTTGAATCACTTGTCAGGGAAATGCTCACTGAAGGGAGCTGAAGGGTTGCATTTCTATAGACTTTTATGAAGCTGGAAGAGGATCTGCTTCATGCTAGTCCTTGAAAAATGTTTAGAACACTTTACTCCAGTGAATTGAACGAGGTTCTTTATGACGGTTTACCTTAAGTGAGCCACACCCAGTTATGAGGTTCACTGCTATGTAGAGGCTTTGTAGAGCTTTGATGCAAGTCACGCTTTTAGATTTTTACTAAAAGTAAGTAAAAACCTAAAAAAAAAAAAAAAGCTTTATTTCGTTCTGTTGCTTTTGATGTTGTTCTAAGAAACAAAAAAGAATTAAAGCATTTGTTTGTCAAAGCAACAATGTAGCCTTCTGAAACAAAGCATAGTTTGAGAGTTAAAAGTTCTATATTCCTGTTGAAACAGATGATCACATTGTAACCACATTTTTATAACTGCAGTTTTTCTTCAAAGGAGAAAACAGGAATAATCTAACTACATGGCACAATATCAACTGTTAACTTTTAAATGACTAATGGAGAGATTGTTATCTTTTGACAAAGTTGATTAACTCAGCGGATTTGAGGTCAGAATAGTATAGAGTTCAGCAAATTACAGACCAACTCCTTCATTATCTGATCTGGAACCTGAAAAAATAAACATAAGTGAGCTATAATGTTCAAAATCACTGTGATGAACAGCCACGCCAGTTAAAGAAACACATTTAGTTAAAACTCAGACACTATAGAAGTGGTGCTTCCCACTGGCACTTACACCCACTGTAAGTTTCAGTAGATGAAAATAATCTTTGGAATACTTGTGTGAAATGTGGTGTTCAATTGAGAAACAATATGTAGTTGTTTAACTTAAGTCACACAATTGTTGTAATACATACAGTGTAAAATACCCCATTGCAGAGGGTATTTTACATGGGGTCAGAATTCTTTCTTAGACTAAAACAGATTATGAGAAAAATGTATGTAAAGGCTAACCAGCCTTTACATACATTTCTACACATTATCTCCTGTATGCATAATGAAACATAATGTCTGTAGTCAGTCAAAAAAACTTTTTTTTAAAATACCCCACCCTTTAAAATGCTAAGCTAAAAGAAAGAGCTGAAAAAGTGCAATACTTGAATAGATGTTCTTATAACCTCTGTTCAAGCGAGGAGGATCAACACTGTATTTCATGTTTCTGTAGCTATCACCAGTACTTACATTATTTTTAGTAATAAGATATTGCAGATATTTAAGTTAATTTAAGTTTCCTTTTCACTGTTTTCAAGTCAAACTAAGTAGGGACTCTCTGTCATATCATTACATGCTTATGTCTGCTTCATGGCGTCTCTCTCTGTTTTTTTTTTTTGTTTTTTTTTCAAAGTTTGGTTTTAGGGCAGTAAAGGTGGGCATATGTGCTAAGCATATTTGTATAGCATGTAATTAACAACAACAGGGGCCTCAACCCTAGATACCTCTTTTTTTTTTACCTTTGACATGTAAGGATAATTCTTCAAACACATAGGTGTGCCTGTTCTACTGGATGGGATTGGCTGCTACGTGATATAGCAGTATATAAATTGCATCCATGAGGGACAAGAAGTAGACTTCTTTCTACTGAGGTACTTTTTCACAGTTTCTCTCCAGGACAACAAGGTAAGGTGACTTTACAAACAGAAACTATTTCTCATTTTTTGGGGCAACCTTGTTGTTTTCACAAATATTTTTAATCTAATTTTTTTTAAACTATTTCTCTCTTGATTTTCTTAAAGTGCCCCCCCTATTCACCAAAGAAAGTTAAGAAAAATTGAGATAAAAGTCTGGGTTGTATGTTATATTATACAGGTTTTTCTACTGAACCTGTCAAAATGAAGCAGCTTGTTCTCTTCATGTGCCTCTTGGTCTCTACTCTCGCTGCCCCTGTAAGTCTAATATTGTGTATTATTAAATCTGCCATCTGATACCATTTTAAAACACAGTTATCCACATCTAACTGTTGTTTGCTCACTTCTATTTCTGAAATTGCAGTTTCCAGCAAGCGAAAGCAGTGAGGTAAGATGGCCTTTTCAACTTTTCTGTTTTGAGTGTTGGATCCGTCTGCTATGACATGTAATGCTATGTTTTTGTCATGCCATCAGTTGGGCACTATGATCGTTGTCTGACAGACAGGGTATAATTGGCTTAATTGCACCGCATGTCTGAAGATGCCTGGTATTTATTTGCAGATTGCAGCACATGCTAATGAGGCCCTGAGGTGGATGGAGATGTACAGGCTGTACCAGCAGCAGGTAATGGGGGTTCATTGATGTTTGAAGTAAAAAAGAACTTCAGATAGACCTTCCATGAATGCTCATTTATGATTATAAATCTGTTTTAATTCCTATTATTGTTGTTTCTTTCCAGGGAATAGTCCAAAATCCCTTCATTCCCTCTGCTAATTCTCCCGTAAGTTTACTCTTGTTAGCCTCTTACAGGAGCTTAGTGGTGGATTTTTGTGAAAACTAAAAATAAGCATATTTGGCATGATTGCTGAAGTTTGTGTGTTACTTATTTGCATCATAGTTTCATGCTGAACTGTATATTGATTGTTATTGAGAAATTCATGTGTACATTTTCTTCCCTGTTTAGAGAAATATTTACTAATATTTTCTCGTATCTTGTTTATTCACAACAACTTCTCTGTCCACAATGGATTGGTTTAAGAATAGCCTAAGTGTAGAGCTAAAAACAAACTGGGAAAAACTTGTAATGCATGTAGAACAAACACATTCCATTGTAGAATAAATTGAGGCTTTTCTCAATTTTCCTCAGAGACCTGAATAAATAAATTTAGGCTAAATTGACAACGGCGGTAGACGCTATGTGCAAACACTGTTAAAACAGAGCTAGAACAAGAAAAGGACACATTCAGGACAGACGACACTCTGACGGGTGTAACAAGGCAAAGAAACATAGACTGTTACACATTTTGCTGGAGCATTAGTTCAAACAATAACTTTAAATATGACAGCGTCACAAGCATAAACCCTGAACATGAAGCAGCTAACTTCAAAAATTCATCATTTTTTGTCAACATATATATGACATGATTTTTTCCCATTTCTTTGGCACAGGATGGTAACCCTGCCACCAAAGCTGCAGGACGTGCCCTGCTGAACTCTGATGAGGTAGAGGAGGCCGAGGAGGTGGAAGCAGCTGAGGCCGACCCAGCCATGGTTGAAGCAGAGCCTTCAGCAAACCCTGCAGCGGTAGAGCCAGCTGTAGTTGACGTCCCCATAGATGTTGCTCCAGTTGATGATGCTGCTGCTGTGGATGTACCTCCTGTTGATGTAGTTCCTGTTGACAGTGCCCCAGCAGCCCCTGAGGTGGCCGTTGATCCAGCTGCCCCTGCCACCGCCGATATACTTGCTGCTGCTGATGTCCCAGCTGAGGTTGACGCCCGTGCCACTGATGTCGGTGAGGCTAACATGACAGGAGGGCCAGCAGATCCCACTGCACTGTAATCTGCCTCTCATCACCAGCAACAATACTCCTCTGTTAGCAAATAGAACAAAAGCTGAAAACAGATACAGGTGATGTAGTTAAAAGAGACCAAAAAAAGTATTTGGGAAAAAATTGAACACTTTGTAAAGAGAATAACCAAAATGTGTTTTCAGACCTAATCTAAAAAGGGTTTTTTTGTTTGTGGTTTCTCTCTTTTTCTGTAGTTCTGTAATTGAAAGTTTATTCTTAGTCATCAACACATTGTATAAATGGTTGAGGATTATCTTATGTTTTATTGTTTTGCTGTACTGTCCACAGTATTAAACCATTAAAGTGCCAAAAAATAACATATCAGTATTTTGTGTACACAATCTTTATCTTGTTGTGTGCCACTGTTACCTCAACAGTGTTTCCTTCTAGTCAATGTTCTCCTGAGTTTCATCAGTGACATAAACACATCAAAATCACACACTGTCATCTCCATTTATACTTATTTCAACACTAAACCAAAACAAATTAAAGGACATTAAACTCCTGCAAAGATGCTTCAGCTCAAATGCAAACTGTGAAATTTGCTGTCATAAAACTGCAAACACCACATCAGCCAACAGGGAGAGCCACTGAACCACAGGATTTCTACATATACTCCTGTACACGTTTTTCACCGATAGAGGTTCTGCTTTGATTTCACACGAGACATTATTGTTCTTTTATGCCTGATCTGGAATCTGTTTTACTGGACATAATCTAATAGGATTAAAGGAGGATATGGAGGAGAGTGCTGACTGAGCAGGAGTAGTGTGTGTGTGTGTGTTAGAGTGCGTGTAAGCGTGTGTGTGTGCAAGCAGACTAAATCCTCTGTTCCGCAAATGATCAGGAAAATTATAGCTTGTTGCTGAATTTTAAAAACAATGTCAACACATAATGGTTTTCAGTGTTGTGGATCCTGAGTAGGAGGTTAACTGAGGCTTGTCGAAACTTCACTTAAATGTATCTCATCTCCCGCTGGAGTGGACAAGCAGGGAGGATGATTGAGTTTGCCACCACTCTCCTCAGACAAGTCTAATCCCCAAATCCTCATCAGGGTCACTGAGACTCTATGACACAGTTAGATGGACTCAGTACCTACAGGTGTTAGTTGCCTAGTTACATGTTGTTATACATTATTAAATAGCATTCAGTGATTGATGATACAATAAATCTGTGGATACCGTGAGTGTCTAAGTTCCAGGAAAGTACACAACTAAAGGGAAATGGACTTTAAATTACATTAAGGATCGGAAAAGGTAAGTTTAGTCACACGATACTGTAAGTTCTTTTTGTAGCATCATCTATGTGTATGGCTAAATAATTCATTTAGACCTGTAAAACAATGTGCTTACCAGCTGAGACTGACACTACAAATGCAATAGTAACATTGGATATAAGTGACACATGATGCAGATGAAGACAGTAAAATCTTTTTTTTTAATGGATTGATTTATTCATACATATATATATATATATATATATATATATATATATATATATATATGTGTGTGTGTGTGTGTGTGTGTGTGTGTGTGTGTGTGTGTGTGTGTGTGTGTGTATTTATTTATGTATTTAGACCTCGAGGCAACTGTTGTTGTTGTTGTGATTTGGTGCTATATAAATAAAACTGAATTAAACTTTATATATTTATAAATATTTTTTTTTTTACATATGTAAGAATTGTATTTATTTAGTTATTTATTTATTCAGGCATTAATCATTTATATGTTTATTTGTTGTCTCAGTAAACAAGTTTTGACAGCACAACACATTTCTGCTTCCATGGGTTGCTCTTGTTTGTAAAAAGAAAACATCAAATCAAATCAAAAAGTTCCTATGGTAAATCAAAAAGCAGATATATTTTTCAGTTTTTTTTCTTTTAAAGCTAGGTGATCAAACAACTGCCAAAATACGTCCTGTTTCAGTTTAAAATATGTGTAAACCAATTTAGAACCCAACACTACTTAAATGAAGTTGTCATCCTGAAAAATATTTTATTGCTGCAGAGTATACTACAGTTCTGCTGCAATGGCCACTACCACCCAGGCCTTGCTCACCTCGCCACCTTATGTTCCACCTCACTTTACCAGTGACAGTGACGATGACATGTGAGCAAAACTTAAATATAAATACACAAAGAATAATAATGACAAAAAAGCAAAGATTTGTCAGTTAATAAAATGTGCTGTGTTTGTTTCAGAAGTTCACCTCAATCAACGCCTCTTCATATAGGCAACACGAACAATAACAACAACAATGAAGAGTAAGTACAATTTGGAGTCATGAAAAAAGTAAAGGCTTAGATTCCTGTAATCACGTTAAACATGTTGCATTAATCGTTTTTTTCAGAGAGAAAAAGAAAAAAAGGAAAAAGGAGAAGAAGGAAAAGAAGGAAAAGAAAGAGTATTGATTTTTATCTCCTCACCTTTTAGGAAATGTTACTATGTTATTAAGGATAACCGGTGCTCAGTATTCTCTAATTTATTATTGCACATTACAGAAAAAAGGAGAAGGAGAAGAAGGAGGAGGAAGAAAAAGAAAAAGAAAAAGAAAAAGAAAATGAGAAAGAAAAAGAAAAAGAAAAGGAGAAAGAAAAAGAAAAACAAAAAGAGAAAGAGAAAGACAAGAGCAAGGACAAAGATAAGTAAGTACATAATTTACAGAAACTTCAAAATAAATTTATGTGTTGTATGATTTTGAGTATTTATTTTACACTTTCATTCTTTCCTCCACAGGCCAGCAGAAATATTTGTCATTAATCCTGCTGGAAATTTGTATTACAACTGGCTGTTTATCATTACGCTACCAGTGATGTATAATTGGACCATGATCATAGCCAGGTGACCTTGATAAATCAGTCATTCTTCCATCACTAAAGGTCAAATATTTACATGATTTCATTTGGTTGTTTGTTTTTAATATCCTACTTCATTAAAACTACTTTTAGCTACAGTTTGCTTTCATGCACAGAAATAGTTTTGTTTTGTTTTTAAAGTGAGAAGTTGTGTTTTTTAACATTGTATTGTCTTTTTTTCTGTTAGTACAGATTACTGGGTTAATGGGGTGCGACAGTAGCACAACAGGACATAGTCCTGAGATATTCAACATTGTTAATTTACAAACCACCCTCACTGCTGGTGGTTGTCTTCTCTTGCAAACAGGGCTTGCTTTGAGGAGTTGCAGCATGACTACATAATTTACTGGGTTATTCTGGACTACACCTCAGACCTTATCTACCTGGCTGATATGTTCTTCAGGGCCAGAACAGGTGAAAGACTAACCTTACCATTCTGCAGAAATATTTTCAAAATGTGATATAGTTTTCCTCAAAGCACTAATTAGACTTACACAGATGAAATGAGTGGCCAGTGATGTCATCGTTTCTCCTGGTCATGTTATATGTAAGTGATGGTGTGGTTCTGTCTCTCTACTGCAGCACAGCAATCAACTATCATCCAGCAAGACTCAAAATGGAAATTTGTACTGCTGAATTCATGTTAGAAAACATCCCTTTCTAACATGAATTCCCTTTCTGGATATAATTTTTGTACTCTGATCAACAGAAAAAAAAAGACTTGTTGAAACTGCTTTACTATAAGATATCTAGAGCATTATTTACACCACCAACTACAAATCTTAAAGCTGCTAATAATTACAGTTTGAACGGTGATCCTGTGTGCAATTAAAAGGTGATTGTTGCAGTAGAAGGGAACATTCAATTCCATATAGTATTTAAAAACACAATGTCCCTGTAAATGGTAAACACTGTCTTTCAACTGCAGGTTACCTTGAACAAGGCCTACTAGTGAAAGATAAGAAGCTGCTTTTGGATCGATACATCAGCAGCTTTCAGTTTCGTCTCGATGTTCTCTCCATGCTGCCCACTGACATCTTCTACTTCGTCCTTGGCATCGACTACCCAGAGATCCGCATAAACAAGCTTCTGAGGATTGGGCGCATGATGGAGTTCTTTACCAAAACAGAGACTAAAACCAACTACCCCAACATCTTCCGTATTGCAAACCTTATCATGTACATCCTTATTATCATCCACTGGAATGCCTGCTGGTATTTCTCTTTTTCCAAATCTATTGGATTTGGTGCTGATGACTGGGTTTACCCTGCTCTGGATGATCCTGAGGAGCCTGAGTTTGGACAGCCCATGAGGAAGTATGCTTTCAGCCTGTACTGGTCCACACTGACTCTGACAACTATTGGAGAAACCCCACCACCAGCTTTGGACTCAGAATTTCTCTTCCATGTTGTGGACTTTTTAGTTGGAGTCCTAATCTTTGCCACCATTGTGGGAAACATTGCCACCATGATCTCCAACATGAATGCAGCCCAAGCCCAGTTCCAGTCCCGCATTGACAACATTAAGCAGTACATGCAGGTAAATAAACATTGATCAAAAAAGTCTAGATCAAAAGACGTAGTAAAATAATCTAGTCTTTAAATATTATTTTAATCCTCTTGTTTTCTTTTCATTTGCAGGTTCGAAAGGTTAGTAAGGACCTAGAGTTGCGAGTCATCAAGTGGTTTGACTATCTTTGGAATAATGGCAAGGCACAGGATGAAAGAGAAGTGCTGAGATATCTCCCAGACAAGCTAAAAGCAGAAATAGCCATCCAAGTCCACATGGAGACGCTAAAGAAAGTTCGGATTTTTGCAGACTGTGAGGCAGGCCTGCTGATTGAGCTGGTGCTCAAACTCCGGCCACAGGTGTTCAGCCCTGGAGATTACATCTGTAAGAAAGGCGACATTGGTCGTGAGATGTATATTATCAAAGATGGAAAACTGGCAGTCGTTGCCGATGATGGTGTGACACAATTTGTTGTACTCGGAAGCGGCAGCTATTTTGGTGAGATTAGTATTCTTAATATTAAAGGTAGCAAAGCGGGTAACAGGCGGACCGCCAACATTCGCAGCATTGGATACTCAGAGCTCTTCTGCCTTTCCAAGGATGACCTGATGGAATCATTGTCAGAGTATCCAGATGCCAAAGGCATGCTTGAGGATAAGGGTCGGCAGATCCTGATGAAAGATGGTCTTATAGACTTGGATCCAGCTAATATCAAACCTGAGCAAAAAGAGCTGGAGGAGAAGGTAAACAAATTGTATGGTACCATGGAGCTGATGCAAGTCAAGCTGAAGAAGATCTTACGAAATAACGAAAATGCAGACAAAACTCTAAAACATCGTATTATAGATCTTGAGCGCTTAACTGGAGAGGAGGTAGAAGAAGATGAGGAAGAAGGAGAAGATAAAAAGGAAGAGAAAGAGGGGGGTGGGGAGAAAAGGGAAGAGGAAAAGGTAGAAGAAGA